TCTTTGTAGGGCCGAAAGACTAACGCTCGCGAATAGGATTTTACAATTAACTATTTTCCGTGAGAAAGAGAGAGAGAGAGAAGATTCGAATATTACCGCGAACTAACGCTCGGCGCGAATACAAAAAATAACCATATCACGAATATACAAAATATCGAAAGTATTTTGTATCGCTTAATAAGACGGAAGGTGCACCTACCAATCGGTGCAATTACGGTGATCAGCCGTAATTGTTGTTGCAAAAATTTCAACTGCCGCTGCCCCTCTATTATCAGCTGCGCTGCCTCAATTCGCCTTTATTTACTGCAAATCTGCTGATTCTGTACCGCTGCTTGCTTCTGCAATAGTATTGTTGTACCCACGCACGTAATTGTTCAGAAAACTAATTATTTTTGTAAAAGATCTTGGGAAGTTTTTTAATTTTTCAAACAATCCGATAAATCCAAAAAGCAAAAAATCGCTCAAAGGAATTAGAAAAAATTCACACTTGTGTCTTGATGAATTTCAAGCAATTTTGTTCCTTAAATTTTTTTTCCAAAGTCATTTCCTTCTGAGTAAAAAATCGCAAAGTTTTTTATTTTTGAAAATTTTCAAAAAATTATAATTTTTATTTTTCATTTTAGCGAAAATGGTCTCTCTTACTTTTTTGTAGGAAATGAGCCAGATTTTCATAAAAAAATATGAAATATTAATTTTTTTAACATTTATTACTAAAAATTTTAAAAATAAAATTTTTTGTTTACGAGTTTGTCTCTTGTAGCCGCCATATTGGAGCCGCCATGTTGGATTTTGCAAAGGCGCACACAGCATCAGAAAGTAGATATCCTAAGCTTTAAAATGAGTCGTTGCACGATTTTTTTGGTCACATCAAATTTTGGACACAGCAGTGATCCGGTTGACATGGATCGTCCCATATATATATATAAGTAGGGCTACGCCCCCTTACCTGCTACACTCGCCAACCCTAATACTAGTACAAATGTATTTATAGGATTTTAAATACAAAATAAAATAATATAATACAGAATGAAATATTAAAAAAAACTAATTTCATTATATCATTTTAAAATATCATATACAGAGTGTCCTATTTTACACTTTTGCAGGGTCTTTGGTAATTACGTGATTATTACCTTGAAAATGACCCTCAAGACGACTAACTTTTATATGAAACGTTTTTCTCTCTTTCCTTCATCTGGAGAGAGGAGCGCGACGATCGGTGAATTGTCGGGCATTTATTATAATATCTAATTCTAACAAGGGAATCGGCAGGCTGAGCAGCCACCGAGTCACCTTCGTGTTCGCGTTTGTTATTGTGCTGCTCGTAGTGTATAAGTACGAGGTCGTCGTCTTGTAACCTATTGTTGACGATTAAATTATTAGTGTGTTAATCCGCTGTTGTGTTTATTCGCCGCTGTATCACTCCTCATCCCGATTTCGAATCTGTGCGTTAAACGTGCTTATGCTCGACGCGTTATTCAGTCGTGGGAATGTCTTTTGCTTCCCGAATCCCAGAATAATAATTTGTGCGGACAGTCGCGAGCAATCCAGACGGCCAGGCCGAAATTTAGTGTTACAAGGCTTAGATAATATTAAAATTATTAATGACGAAGAAATCATAGCTATACGAGGTCTGTCCGGAAAGTATGGGGCCTACGTTTATATCTTCGCGCCATAGTGTTAGAGCGACCTCTACCGGACAGAACCGTCAACAGTAAAGCCTCACGAATCTATTGGTTACTTACTGACACCTGCCGGACGTATAGTTCATGCGCAGCGTGTCTTTGTTTACAGTGCCGTTTTCGCGTTCGTCGGATTTTGATATTGTCAAAAATGACTGAAAAACAAGATCAATGAAATTGCATCAAATTTTGCTTTTAACTCGGGAAAACGAGATCGGAAATTATTGAAATGATGCAAAACTCCTTCGGAAGCGAGTGTATGAGCAAAACACGAATAAAAGAGGGGTATAAATGATTCAAGGATGGTCAGACTTCCGTCGATAGTGATTCTCGTTCCGGCCGATCTTTGACGACAAAAACCGCAGATAATATTTAGCGGGTGTGACTTGCAATCGAACAAGATCGTCGTATGACTGTGAGAGAACTAGAAGAAGACCTTGGGATACCAAAAACTATCATTTCAGAAATTTTAACCGAAAATTTAGGAATGAAACGCGTGTGTGCGAAATTCATCCCAAAATTGCTCACAGCAGAGCAAAAGAACATTCGCTTAGAAATCGCTCTGGACAATATGGAAATGGTTAATAATAATGATAATGTGCTTAGAAAAGATATTACAGGTGATGAATCATGGGTTTATGGTTATGATCCTGAAACAAAACAACAATCTTCACGGCGGAAGCATTCTGAAAAAAAGCACGTCAAAGTCGGAGCAATGTTAAGTCCATATTGATTGTTTTTTTCGATTGTGAAGGTGTTGTACATCACGAATATGCATTAACAGGTCAGACTATCAATAAAGAATACTACGTTCAAATTTTGAAACGTTTGCGTGATGCAGTAAGAAGAAAACGGCCGCACTTTTAGGAAAGTGGTGACTGGCTTCTCCATCTCGATAATGCGCCAGCGCATTCATCCAATCCTGTGTAGCAGTTTTTGAGCAAACACAATATAGTATTGCTTCGACAACCTCCATACAGTCCCGACATAGCCCCTTGTGACTTTTGGCTGTTTCCAAAACTAAATAACCACTCAAAGGACACCGATTCGAAGACAAAACAACGGTTGAAAACAATGCGACGAGTGTACTTAAGGCTATCTCTAAAAGTGAGTTCCAGGACTGTTTTGAAAAGTGGAAACATCGATGGAACCATGTTATTCAATCAAGTGGGGATTACTTTGAAGGATGCCACCCACCAGATGATAAAGAATAACGCTAGCACGAAAATGTAAAGGTAGGCCTAGTACTTTCCGGACAGACCTCGTATTTAACGTTTAGAAGACGTCGATTTGGAAATTTAACTGCTCAGTATTTTCTATAGAAAACGCATGTGTGTCTAATATCGGAGAATACTCATATGTGAAGTGATAATCGATGGTCGAGCCACTATAGTGGCTTTCCCGTCCTCAGGGGTGATGCTAATTTTGATACTTTGAAAAATTGTTTTATTTGGCACAGGAAGTTAGGACCTGGTTTAGTTATAGTTTTTTCGTAATTTTGATCTTGGAATTCGATTCAACGTTGAAAAATCCCTCAGAAAACTATATTTATACTCCCTTATTATAGAAAGTTTATTTTGGCGACTAAGAGGATAGTTTATCCTTATTTTAGGGTTTCGTAATTTTTGACTTTTGACATCAAATTTGTTATCAGTATGTCTAAAAACCTTAGAATGGACCTATTTTACAGACTAAATGGAAAAATTATTTTGAGCCACTATAGTGGTTTTCTGATTTGAATACAACTTTTTAGAGCAGTAATTTATTTGTAAGTGATAGCTCCGATTATTTTCCAATAAGACAAGTAAATTTTTTTCCATTTGTATTCTAGTTCTTTACATTCTGTGAATATATGTTCGTACCATGCGAGCCTCCTATCAAGGTGTGTACCTAAATATTTTATATGATCGCTTTGCGAAATATATTTATTATTGAGTTTAATCAGTGAACATTATCTTTTAATTATTTGAAATTTTAAAATATTGCAATCGAAAATCCTATGTAATATTGTACGAGTTTTATGGTTTGTTCCTAATAAAATTAGCCGAAATCATCTTCAGGTTATATCAGTAAAACAAGAAATAAAAAACTTATATGTAAAATACAATACCGGACTTCATAACTACCTTAATAAGCTTATTAACGAACTTTATAAGACATCCAAGACCAATATCATGCTCATAAAACATAAATTAATAAATCTCTAAATTAATCATAACCCAATTGTTACATCTACACTTTATAACAAAGACAGAACGCTCATTGGAGTATTCTACTTATTTCATGTACATATATCGTGTATTAATAAAATTTACTTATTGTCTGAATATGTTGGGCAAATTGTAAATAAATTTGGAACAACAACAACAATTTTAAGTACTACTATACTCAAGTGAATTTTAAAGTCATCAAAATATAAAAATAACAGGAGAGTCAAACCGTTACTTTAGAATACGTAATTTGTCACAAATAAAATTTTATGAGTTTTTTTATATTACAAGGTTAATCGGAGAAAATGTATCTAAAATATTATGTATAATTTTTCATGTGGAAACCATTTTAGACTTTTTAATATAAAGATAGAGAATAAAATTTCAAAATAATCTATTTGCTGCTGTATACATACGAAAATACATAGAGGAATATAAATACTGTGTTTTTTTGATTCCTTGCCTATTCACTACCTTAGTTCATTCTCATTTTCTATTCTATTTTTTGACATATTCTTAAATATTTTTCCCTCTAGCTAAATCCACGTAATTTACGACAGCATTAAGTTTAAAGTAAAATGTATGGTGCTGATTATTAGTGTAAAGTATAACGTTGTAAATAAAAACATTATTCTTGTTATTGCTTATAACTTACGTAGCAAGTTAGTTATACTGGCTTGGATTCGACCATAAAATGTAGCTATTGATAGGGTAGAAAAGTCACATGCTAATAACTGTAGGAAACGAAGAGTACCTTGTGTGCCTTTGTGAATATAGTTCTTAAAGTAATAATAACAGCAATACCAATAACATTAAAAATTATCTTATAGACTCTACTATTTATTTTGAACAGTGAATATTTTGGCAGATAATGTAAAAATTTGCATGTAAGCTACCATAGGACTTGGAATCATAGATCAATAATAATTTGAGAGTTATATTAAAAGAACATTAATTACATTTTTCTGTTTGAAAAAATTTTGTATATATAAAGTGTCAGTAATCTTACAAATCTCAGGTTTTGTCTTACATGTTAAAATTATTATATGACAATGATAAACTCTGAATCTAAATTTGCATAAGAGAACAAGTAAAAATATTTACTCACTTGTCTATCTACAACTGGTAGTAATTGTGCCAATTTTCTTTGATATAAAGGCGGCAATCCTTGAAATGAGTGTCTGTTTAAAAGAACTCTAAGACTTATATTTGATAGAATACTAGCGGGAGATTCTAAATCGACTAATCCAGCTTCCAATTGGGCAGCTGTAGATAACCTTTTATTCGATCGTCTCCTATTTGATTTGAAACTAAATCCTGGCAAACTAGCTAAGATTTCCTTCATTGTTGCAGCAGCTTCCTCTGAAACTAGAAAAAGAAATATTATGAATATGCAAATTAATAAATAGACGGTGATCGATACCCATATTATACTGTACATATATACATAATATATTAGAGATTAGGAGAGAGGTTGCTAAAGATATTCTTCTCCATGTGATAAATGTTGTTGGGGCGCATCTACCAATCACTTTTGGAACTATATCACACACAATCTAGTTAATAGTGTAGAGGGAGATGAATGAGTCGAGCTCGAGGAGCAAAGAGCGAGAGAGAGAGAGAGAGAAAGAAAGGATAGGGGAGCACGAGCAATAAGGTGAATCAGCAAAGAGTTACAACTTTTTTTTGACACCTTACTTTTCTCTGCTGAATAAAAATTTGTTTTTGAATGAAAAATCACTTTCGTAGTTTAGTTGAATATTTGGTCGCCTTCAATAAAATGTCTCAAAAAAATAACATAGGCCGACAAAATTTGACAAAAGTCAAGGCTCAGAGACCAGACATAGTATACCCAAAGGATTTTGATGCGTTGAATCCAAATCTGACCTCAGAATTCACCTAATACATCAGGTTTCTGAGATAGCCTAACCTAAAAGGGCAAAAGACAGTTTTTGCTATATTTCAACTCTTCTTACATCGCGCAATTTAATTTTAATGCAAATCCGAATCATATATTAGAAAGGGCACATCTTCTACTTCAAAAATTACTTTTTTTTTAGAATAGAAGAAAATGAAGCGATTTTTTAGAATAGCATTTCTGCAAGGTTAGATATCGTTCATTGAAGAAGACAAAATTATAATTTTCTATAGCACCAAAATAAATCGAGAATCACTTCTAAGGTGTGCCATAAGAGACTAGTGCATAATTTTCGGTATGAGAATAATAATTTATATAATATAATCTAAGCGACTCAGAAAGCAATAAACGAGCACAGTGATCGAAAACTAAAAATAGTGGATGTGACGAGTCGGAAATGACGTGTCAAAAACATCGGAATACCGAACATAATAAATCAAACCAAGCATTTACACGACCTTCTATAATCACAATCCCGTGGATTTATTACATAGCTTCGGAGCTATCTTAACTTCAAAACATTGGACACCACAAAGTTTAAACCTATGATAGAGGTCAATACTCCAATAATAATCTCATAAAACCTGGGGTTTGACCCCTTAACCTTCAAACCAGCGATAGGTTAACTTTCAAACGCTTACCCCAAGAACCCTGGGTACTCCGAATTTTGAATCTACAACAACTTAACCTATAAACTTAAACTCTAAGAACCCTGGGCGCTTAAACCTGCGAACCTTAAACCCACGACAGGTTAACCTAGAAACTCAAGCCCCAAGAATCCTGGGCGCTGAAACCTTAACACAACAGAAGGTTAAGCTCGAAACTTCAGCTCCAAGTATTCTCAGCTTTTGCAAACCTTACACGCAGGATAGGTCAATCTCGAAACTCAAATCGTAAGAACCCTGGGCAATTGAAAAATGTATAGATTTCAATATCGTTGAATTCTGTATACTGTAATTTTTTTAAAACAGAATAGTCATTTTTCTAATCTTTTTACACATTGTGTATTGTTTCTATAAATTGATGTGTTAGAAATCACACATTTTTCTCAACCTAAATTTGCATGTATGACATACAAATCTTTCCGTGTTCGAAGTTACGTTTCGGTGGCTGGCTAACGATTCGATTTTCAGATAATGAAATTTGTTCATTGATAATCTTTGCGTGTTAGAGATCACGTTTAAGTGGCGAGCTAACGGTTGGATATATGAGGTGATTATAGTGATTGAATATTGATAGAAACAAAAACTCATCAGTATCAAATATTTTATATAATAAAAGTTCAACGGCGGCAGCTGAATTTTTACGATATCGTATTATTAAGTATCGAGTGCTTTTAACTTTTCATTTTATTCATTGTTCATATTAAATGAAGTCCAAGCGTAATACTGATTCCTTCTATGTTTAGTCAAATTTATAAATAGTTACATAAATTTTATTTTATTTTTCATTCAAAGAAGAAAAATAAGTTTAAAAACTCCTTGTTCTAAAAAAGTCAACACATGTTGTTTCATTTGCGGAAAGTACGAAACGAAATCTTGAGGTAGTTCAATTAATGATCCGACCAAAACTTCATACTTTAAGTGTTACGTATGGTCGATGAAAAATTGGGACAAACCATGGATACGTATGACAATTTGCAATACTTGTAGAAAAAACTTATCAACAGAAAAAATAAGAACAAAACAAACCACTTCAACGTGTTATACTAGAACCAACTATCTCGTGTGAAACACAAGATCATGATATAGATTGCTACTTTTATCAACGTAATACGCATGATTTCAGCAATAAATATTTGCACAAAATCAAATATCGTGATGTTAAAAGTGCGACCTCAGCTAAAATTGATGATAAAAGTTTTTCCAAAGAAGAAAATATTCATTTTAATGAAAAATCGTTGGATATTGCTAATATCGCTGAAATTAAATATATTTTTGTAAAAATACTGGATATAGTTCTGAAGAAGATAGTTCAAAATTGTTTGATTAAATTGGATTAAACGATTTTATTCACGATCTTGATCGTTCTAAAAATACGAGGTGTGTTCAAAACGTAAGGTGACTTTTCAAATTTCACGGCAACGTACTTTCGATTATCGATTTTTTTGTTTTGTTATATTGGTACACTCTTCCCGAACATCTGTACCAAATTTCAAGTTTATAGCATTTTTTGTTTGGTTGTGAGTATAAGTGTTTTGCGTGCTCGACGATTTCTTGCTATCGAAAAATATGGATCAAAGGATTTGCATCAAATTTTGTGTAAAAAATAAAATAAAGTGCTCCGAAACACTTGAAATGTTGACGGTGGCATACGGTGAAACTGTTCTGAGTAAAAAAAATGTTTACAAGTGGTACAAACTCTTCCAAGATGGCCAGGAAGATGCCAATAACGAGCCTCGCTCTGGACGCCCAAGCACGTCAACAACTGATGAAAACGTTCAAGCAGTGAAGAAAATTGTTCTGGAAAATCATCGAATCATTATCAGAGAAGTTGCTCAGGATGTTGGTATATCGCTTGACTCGTGCCATGAAATTTTTTCTAACATTTTGGGCATGAGACGTGTGTCAGCGAAGTTTGTTCCGAAATTGCTAAATTTTGACCAAAAGAACCGTCGCATGAGCATCGCTCAAGAACTGTTGAATGACGTCAACGACGACCCAGATTTACTCAAAAGGGCCATAACTGGTGACGAATCATGGGTATATGGTTATGATATCGAAACCAAAGTCCAATCGTCCCAATAGAAGAGCCCAGATGAGCCAAGACCGAAAAAAGCACGCCAAGTTCGATCAAATGTCAAAGTTTTGCTCACTGTTTTCTTCGATTACCATGGCGTGGTGCATCAGGAGTTCTTACCATATGGACGTACGGCCAATAAACAGTATTATCTTGAAGTTATGCGCCGTTTGCGAGAAGCAATACGAAGAAAACACCCAGAATTGTGGAAAAACAATTCATGGCTTTTGCATCACGATAATGCCCCTGCTCATTCATCTTTGCTTGTGAGAGATTTTTTGGCCAAAAAAAACACCACAATCATACCTCAGCCACCGTATTCACGGGATTTGGCCCCATGTGACTTTTTCTTGTTCCCAAGACTAAAGAGACCTATGAAAGGACAGAGATTTGCAACGATTGAAGAGATAAAGACTGCATCGCTGGAAGAGCTCAAGGCTATACCGAAAAGTGCTTATGAGAAGTGCTTTGAGGATTGGAAAAACCGTTGGCATAAGTGTATTGTATCTGAGGGGGATTACTTTGTAGGGGACAACATAAATATTGATAAATAAATAAATATTTTTTCTTAAAAATACAAAGTCACCTTACTTTTTGAACACACCTCGTATGTGCCGCGTGCCTGGTCAGAAACTTTGCTTTTACTGTGTGCCGGTGTAATACATCCAAATTTTACTTGGTTTATCCTCTTTGAATTCTGCCCCCATGTATTTATTAATAATCTTTACATATCTATTACAACATTGACCAATACCTCCACGTATACTTTTTTGAATAAATAATACCATATCAACTGTACTCGGATAGATTGACTCAGGATTTGACAAAAGAGAGGGGATGACAAAGATGAATTCCCTCTCCACTGGAAAATCTCGAATCGAGCAGCGACACGCAGCTCATGTTAATTGCTAACTTGAAAAGGCACTCTCGTTTGGTCCTCCTGACTAATATAACCTTGGAAATCCCTGCAGATATCTGCACTGTGCTGAGACTCCAACAGGACCAAGACTCCGACGAAATCCCAATTCCTTTCCTTGACCAGACGAGAGTCAGCTAGGGACTAAGCTCTATGGGAATAGGCAGTGCACCTATCTTTTCAACGAGCGATATCAATTAAATCCAAGAAATTCCTAACTCAAATAATTATCGAACTCATCTTCCGAGTTGAGTACGCAAGGCGCATGCTCAATATACGAAAGAGGCGATAATTTTCTTTCCGTAAATCTGAATAAGAGCTTTTCTGCGATAGAGTCGGATATATGAACTTGACACTAAACTAACGTATCACAAATCGGTGCCCGAACAGGGACCCAACGATAGATATCGCGTTAGATATTATTTACATTAAGAGTAAGGATTAAGTTTATTAAGATTTTTCTGTCGTTGATTGATGATTAAAAGCAAATTTTTATATCATGAAGGCTACGTTAAGTTTAAGTAATTGAATCAATTCGTCGTGTATATAGATATTGTTTTGAATGGTTTTTTTTTAAGATAAGTTTACAAGGCAACAGAGAAAGTACAGTAAAATTTCAAATAAACATTTATACCCTTGGATAGATTGATTACCAATTAGCATATCAGCGTGTTCTATTTACCTTTGATATGTTATAGGCTTATTTGGGTAACAAAGTCAAAAGTAAATAGACGGGGCAATTAAATTTTCATAACAGTAGCATTTAAAATCGGTACCGATGAGTAAACGAACAAC